GAGAATTATTTTCAGCCATATGTTCTTCTACAAACCCCTTGATTATTACGTGGCCTTATTTGATAATAAAAGTCTCGAATCAATTTATGATTCAATCTTTTCTATCCTTCTATAGATGCATAAAGATTTACCAGTATAAAGGTTGTGGAAATTATTACGTTTTTGATTCAGATTATGAACCGATTGATGTTAAACCGCCATCGGAAATCTGGAAGCACTGGATGACGGTTTCGTTCTATTGTGGAACTCGCAGGATTCGAACCCATGGACTTTCTTGAAAAAAAAACTGTTTAAGTTGTAATTTGAAATTTCTAACAAGCAAATTTTCATTTGCAGTAATTTCTATTTTGTATATTTCACACAAATCATTTGTTCTCTGTAATGTAGAGCTAAAAAAATACTGAGTAGGATGAATTATTTGGTTGATTATAAGTAGTATCATCAATATCAGATTGTCAGTGTCCCCCCCTCCGAAAAAAATGAAAACGAAAAAATGTAATAGTTCAATTCATGAGTCGATTAAATCTAGACCACCATGAATAACGTGGAAGTAGTAGACAACCGTTTACGTCCTCGTATAGGACTCCTTAGCAGTGCGTATTCGAAGGTCCTTGGTTCGTGCATGAGCACTGCTGATGAGTCCTATACAAGGACGAAACAGCCGTTCAATGCTTCCAGCTTTTCTGTGATGATCTAGCTTTAATTGACTCATAAATTCAACCATAAAACATATGCTACAATCTTCTGATAATCTAAGTGTTATTTTTCGAAATATCAACCAGTTGAGATATATGAAAGAGTATTTAAACTTAGAACCATCATAACTAATCCTTTTACAGCTTATAAAATGAAATGCACTACTCAAATGATTAGTTTATATCTTACTGATGTGGTATTAAAACAAAATAAATTAAAATAATTGTCATTACATAATATACTACTGTAATGTAATGTATATCAGATCGATAAATTCTGGGTTCGAATCTCGCGAGGCGGGATCGTGGATGTGCACTGTTGAGGAGTCTAACAATTGGATGAAACGGCCTTTCAATACTTTCAGGTTTTCCATAGTGGTTTAGCTTTAATCGAATCATGATCTCAACCATTAAAATTACTATGGTGTTAATGTCTAACCTCAACCAATCCACGACCACTCCCACAGTAGGATAATCCTTTAAATTTTGCACACAAAAAAGTATAATATCAAGGTTATTTGCCTAGGATACAAATATATTAAGTGAAACTGATCGATCTCAACTCAGAATAACAACAACAAGAGTAAACAAACTCTTACCACTGGATTAGTTATTAGTTATCTTTGCGCAGTAGTTTAGTGAATAATATGCTGACATAAAAAGAGTTAGTTACTGGGTAAATATCAATACTGAAATACAAATGAACCTAGCTGACAAATCCCAAGTATAGTAAACCTTACATCTTGTATTTCACTAATGTCTATTATCCAAATGTAATAAATACTGATGCTTATATATTTTGACTGATACGATAGAGATTAAGAACACCGATTAGGGAACTTGTTACTAAAATCAAACAACCATATAACAAATGTTCAATTTGCAAATTGTTCATCAATTGTCTAAAAATGACTCAGATATCCTTTGTTCTTGCATTTTCATACAAATTACATTCTGTTTTCATTCTTCACTATTCCATCTTTTTGTCTCTCTGCTGTGCAAGACATTCTGTTCACGACTAACATTATATACTACTTATGTCTACTTAAGTAGCACACACCACAATACAATTATAAATAAGCTTAAATGTAAACACTTCAATAACTAATCTATTTATTTTCCTTAATATTTACTATATGATAAAGTAATCTTAAGTATAAATTGTATTACAAGTGGTTTACAACATCTTCTCACCAATGAATGTATATCATTTAATAATCAGATCACTTCATACTTCCATTTGATGTCTTATAGATAACTTGAAAATTTCCAATAGTTGTGAATGAAAAGAAAACTGTTATTGGCTTGGCAAAGATTACGTTACGAGTAACTTCTGAGTCCTATAAATAGACTATTATTATGTATATATATTCTTATGGTATAACTATTCAATAGTTAGATTATGTATATCTATATTTCCCTTGTTATAAGCTTTATTTTGACCTATAGATTATTATTGTACGATTCAATGTTCTTAAACTATGTTCAGTTTATTAATTGCTGTCTCCCACGTTCACAGCCACCTTTTTGGTTTCATTGTGTACACATGTTATTTGCTCTTTTATGGTACGTTGTGATCTGTCTGATTGATATATAAACCGAGTATATCTGAAATAAATGATTTCGTTCATATTACAGAAGCTGGTATTGTGTTCTGGACTCAAGTGGACGGGTTAGAAGGAAATAGGATCGAATAAGGACGCTAGACTGTTCATACCGGTTGAACTTCATTGGTTCTGTCATAGTGTGAAGATTTGCATAAATCGTATTCTGATTGGTGGATAAGTCACGTGATCATAACAAAAACAATCATTCGTATGACACTTTTTCATTGCTATACAATAAGAACTTAGGACGAAAGGGTCATCCAGTGTTTCCAGGTTTTCCATAGTGGTCTAGCTTCAATTGATATATGAATTCAATTAGTAAATTACTGTAAATATTCATAAAACTCCTCTCTGATCATAATTTATACTCATTACCATAATAAAGAGGTACATATAAATATTATGTACATAGAGGTAGTCGGCAGGAATTTGTACTTGACCTAGTTGATGCTGAATGTTAACAAACTCAAGAGAACGGATGGCTCTTTGGGTTTGAATTTAATATATCTAGACTCAAAACATTACTATTGCTGAAAGATCTCTTACAGAATACCTTCTAATAATTGATATCTCAACGTAATATATGTAATATCGATTAATGTAGACTAGTAGCTACACTATACATAGATCATCATTCATCGATGAGTATTGAATGAATAGAATAAACATAAAACATTGATCGCTGTTGAATAGTTGAACAGTTGTATCTTAATTGACTAAAATATACGGTGCGACTATAATTTATGAACGAATCAATCAGGTATAAAATAACAAGTCTGGGATTTTGGCGCGAAATTCACTCATCTATTTGGATAATTAGAGTTTTGGCATTATAGTTGATGTTAATTGATGATGAAAATCTAATATCTGATATCAAACTCTAACTATCAACTGTGAATATTAGTGTTCATTCCTCATACTGGTTTATAACCGTTATTTTAGCCATAGTAAGTTGGTAGACATTCTTAAGGTCTCATTAGTGTTACTCAAAGATCGTCCATAAATTATAGTCTCACCAACAAAATAGGTTAGTGGATAGTGGTGGAAGACAGAGTGAACATTAATTCTAAAATGCAAGTATATCTAGCTGACGAGTCCCAAAATAGGACGAAACGTGCGATCTGAATTCCTGCAGTCTTAAATAACAATTGGAAGATACAAGTTAACAATACTAAATGCTTAAAATGACAAAATTATTCCCTCTTATCCTAAATCTCATTATTACTTGACACTTCTGGATATTAACACGTATTTTTTTATCAGAAGGAGTTGTATGGAGATTTTAGAAATTTCAATAGTTGAAATCATGAGTCATTTGAAACTAGACCACCATGGAAAACCTGGAAACACTGAACGGCCGTTTCGTCCTAGTATGCGTCTCCTCAGCAGCTCCTGGCACGAGACTGATAGGTCCTGGGTTCGAATCCCAAAAGCGGGGTTGTGGATGCGCACTGCTGAGGAGTCCCATACTAGAACGAAACGGTCGTTCAGTGCTTCCAGGTTTTCCATGGTGGTCTAGCTTCAATTGACTCATGATTTCAACCAGTGAAACATATTTTTTATCATTCGATAGTCAGTCATATTGTGATGTGTACTACTGATATCGATTAATATAAGTAGTATGTATCATTAATAGAAAGTGAAATGCCAGTAAGTAGAACATTAAGAAGATCGAAAAAAAGAGAACTCGAAACGAAGTAACATTCAAGTCTGAGACGATTGATTGAAATTTTCCGGTGAGATTATAATTTATGGACGAACCAATCAGGTATAAAATAAAAAGTCTCGGATTTTGGCGCGAAATTCACTCATCTATTTGGATAAATAGAGTTTTGGCATTATAGGTTATATCAGTTAGTAATGAAAACCCAAAATCTAATTCTTAACCTTAACCATCAAATATAAAATTATGATTTCAATTCCTTACACTAATTTATAATCCTCATTCGGTTCTAGTTACTAAGTGGATATTGTCAAGGTCAATCAAGAATCGCTTAAACGTCGTCCATAAATTATAATCTGACCCATTCAATTGTCTTCATTTGTATTCTCATTCACTAGAACAACTGTTACGTCCCAATAAGAATAATAAATGGTAACTTTGGGATCTATTTGTTGACCATTAGTATACGTATATTTTTATTGTGTCATTGTTAATTAACTAAACTATTCATATTCATATCTCTCTTATCATAAGCTTTATTATACGTTTTACGATTGTTGAATTCTGCCTTGTCTATTAGTCACTGCCTTCCACATTCACAGCCACATTTGGCCAAATCTTGGATAAATGTTGTTTCCTAATTTATGGTACGATGTGGTCTGTTTGATTGGTATATAAACCCCATATGTTTGAAATATAATGATTCATATTGTAAAGACTCAGATTAATGTTCTAGACTTAATTAGCTGAACTAAGCGGAAAGCAGGGCCAATCAGAACTTTAGACAGTTCGTACGGCTTTTACTCGTCATTGATCCAATCGATAAGTCACTGCTCTCTAATTGACGGTCACAAGAGATAACAACAACAACAACAACAACAACAACAACAACAAAGTATAATCCATTCTTGTCACTAAACAAAAAAAAAAACTGATATCACTTCAAGAAGACATTAATTAAAAAAAACCACCTGAAATTCCAAATCACATAGCAACAACAACATCAAAACACCAAAAAAAACAAAGAAAACTTACATAAATATTGTCGAAAACCAGTTAATGTTAATAAAATTAATAATAATACACTTGTATATTGATAATTGATTCTATCAATTTGATCATCATCTCCATTCAATTGATTTGAATGGATACGTGCCCATTTTAATAAAGTTAATAATATAGTTGGATCATTATCGATTTTTCTTGTAGGTCTTGTTAAACCTGTATCATTTAATAAAGATGTATGATTGAATGTGGTTGTCATTCCAGTTAAATTATAATCTAAATCATAATATGGATTATTATATAAATATGAATTATGTAATAGATCATTATCATCATAATAATCATTGAATAATAGATCATCATTCAATACTTTATCATTACTACTACTCATATTATTATTATTATTAGTGGTAGTAGTAGTAGTATAACGATGATGGTGATCATGATGATGATCATAATTATGATCATGAATTAAACATTGTGTTAAAATTTTCTCTTCTTCATTATATAATTGTGTTTCTATAGAACAATTATTGATAGAATTCGATGATAATGATTTATTATTATTATTATTATTATTATTATGATGATGATGATGATCATTTATTGATTTTCCATGAAATTCATCAATATTTGATGAATCAATAAATGATTCTATCATTGGATTTATTGGATAAGATAAATATTCATTATTAATGATATGTGTTGATGGTTTAGTTAATAGATGAGATGATGAATCTGTAAGTAAGTCTAAGGAACATTGTGATGTAATAGCCATAATTTATTACATGTATATATATATATATATATATATATATATATATAGAGAGAGAGAGAGAGAGAGAGAGAGAGAGAGAATAATCACATTTAACAAGGACGGGGAGACTAAGAGTGGGGAGGGGGGCAAGGGAAATACTATTTAATCATAATTGATAAACTCTTAAATAGGTAATCAACTAATTACATAATGATTAAAGTAATATATATATATATATATATATATAATGTAATATAATAATAATAATAATATTAATATTAATATTATTAACCAATCAAAATTCAACAAGAAGGGAATAAATGATAATTCAACCAATCAAATAATCAACAACAAATATACATATTTAGTTAATCATAAATGATAATGATCATAAACCAATTAATTCTTGTACTGATCAATGATACTTCCACATATCATGGAAGCATCATTGATGAACATGAAAGATCAGATGCAGACATAAAGGTGAGGATTGGCAAAGCAAGGGCAATATTCCTTCAATTGAGAAAAAACATATGGTACTCAAAACAACTGTCTTTCAAACAATATCAAAGACAGAATCTTTATTAAGAACGTTAAGACAGTTAGTTCTACTTTACGAAGCTGAAACTTGGAGAACTACAACAACCATCATCAATAACGTACAAGTATTTATCAATAGTTGTCTACGTAAGATATTCAACATCCATTGGCTGGATACCATCAGCAACAGCCTACTGTGGAAGAGAACTAATCAGCTTTCAGATAAAGAGCAAAGTAGGAAAAGACGATGGGAGTAGATAGGACATAAATTTAGGAAATCATCAAAGTGCATCAAGAGACAAGCGCTAACTTGGAATCCTGAAAGGAAGCAGTAAAGAGGAAGGTCAATCAACACATGACGTCGGGAAATAAAATCAGATATGAAAAGGATGAATAACAAGTGGAAAGATCTGGAAAGGATTGTTTGTGACAGGATTTGATGGAGAATGCTGGTGAGCGGCCTAATCTTCTTCACGTGAAGTAACAGGCGTAAGTACGTAAATACGTACGTTTAATATTTTATAATTATTCTGTGGAAAAATTCAATCCATAAAACTCTTTCTGATATGAATTAACATATACTCACTAGTGATTGGTTTCAAGAGATATTTTCTGGAGCTCTAGTGAGAATCAGTGACTAGTGAAATTCAACTAAGTCTGTTGTGAGATAGTAATTTAACTGAAGACAATGGTGGATGTGTCACTGAATTTAGTGGATTAGTTGAAGTTAGACATTAGCACCAATGAATACTGGTCGGTTCAATGATCTAGAGGATAAGCGTTCGCACTCGAAACTAATAATTCCTGGGTTCGAATCTGTTTTGTAGGGGGATTGTAGATAAGCACTGCTGAGGAGTCTCACAATGAGACGAAACGACTATCCAGTGTTTGTATGTTTTCAATTGACTCATGATTCACAACTATTAAAATTTTGTTCTATATTAAGTTCAATAGTTAAACCATCAGAAATGTGTTCAGCGTTAATGAGTTTTATTTGTAAGTATATGTAGTATCGTGTTTTTGTACGTTCAGCTACCAAGTCTGACATAGAATGAAGATGTACTTTCAGAATTCTATTATTAATCACCCTCTTTAACATAGCTAAATCTTTTATGAAAATCCAAAGAAAGAATAATAGGGAACAGTAAAGTATAATAGGTAATATACATGGATGATTAAATCGGAAGAGTAAATGACTTGTAATGTCGTAAGCATGTAGTTTCTTTATTCGGTAATTTGGATGGAAAATACTCTTCGACAATAATAAAACATGAGAAGATCAACATAGATCAATAGAATAACTTACACCAAGAAAAATAACTTTTGACACTGTCCTTATTATAGAATCTCTAATGATAGAAACTTTATGGGATCCTTACAGAGTGTTTAAATGCTATTCATGACTCAGGCTAAAATTGACAGTTTCACATTTAGAAGGATTAAGGATGAGAACATTAACAACAGATCATTGTTTAATAACAAATAAGTATCCTATCATTTCAAGGGGATATAAACAAGCGGAGATCTTGTTAGATACACTGAGATCATTTGCATACTTAACAAAAATGTTTTTTCTTAGAAGATGAGAGACTATGCATAAGAAAAGAGAAAATAAAAAAAAGAGAGTAAAACTCCTTGTGCATCAAGCATTATTCTAACCCTTTTCCCCAGTTGAACGAATGAAGTGACTGAAGCTATTTTCGAACATCAATTTCAGTGAAAATGGGAACATAACTTATTCACATCTATTAGATATACGGAGTATGACAATAGATGGTTAATACACTAGAGATAGATCACAAACATTCGTCTGAGCATCATAACTAATGTATCTCCCACCTGTAAGCTTTTTAAATAGTTTCCAAACACTTTAAAAGTATTTTACAACATAGGAGTTTCTGAGTAGAAAAACAACTTCTTGGTTTATTAGATCATTTAGCTTTCTCAATTCAGCGTGGGTTTTCCTTCATAATTATTTTAGTGATGAGAATGTAAGACAATCAAGAATAGTCTCAGTGAGACAACAAACGATATCAATGATGTTTTTCAATGAGTTCTTTGTCAATAGATTCCAGTTTGTCAGATCTCTTATTTTTTTATTCTGAGTAATAATGCAATAACCAGAACTAACGAAAGATGTATGTTTACTAGTCACATATACTCCCACATCTTCAATGAAAATTAAGTCTATATATATATCTCCAAAGAAGTGAGAAAATTGACTGTATTTTGATGACCTAGTGATAAAAGAAAGCTATAATTATATGAATTAAAATCACCACATATCATTGAAAGGGAACCATTGGAGGTAGCGAAAGCGAATTCAATGAATTCCTCGACGTAAACAGATAGTGCAGATGAGATGTAATCTAGAGTCTCATAAATATTGATAACATGACTACAATTGATCTGTCTTACTCAGGATACATATATAACAACAAGAGACTGATCAAATACAGTGCTAAACATTATTGGGAAGATTCAAGTAAATCAAATTAATTTTAACTTTAACCCATTGCATATGAAAAAACCTATCAGGACTCAGTAGTTGAATGGATAGCTCAATGGTGTATAAAGCAAACGGTACTGGGTTCGAGTCTAAGAATGAATATCAACTCTAAAATGTAGGTACATTCAGCTGACGAGTCCAAAATAGGATGAAGTGGCACGCATCCTTAATTTCACTACTAGCTACTAGCCATCTTTACCTATAATACATGTGAATTAAGGCAATATCAAGACAATACCCACAGAATGCATATATGCCAATAAAGGACTATTCAATTACAGTCCTAAATAACATTAGGAAGATACAAACAAACAAACAATACCAAAAAAAAACAACAACAACAACTGAATTGTAATAAATAATTATAGATGAAATAGAAACTACCATCTAAGCAACAAATTGACTTTCAAAGTTAAAAGCAAAGAAAAAAAGAAAAAAAAAAGAAAAACTGACCAGCAATAATTTTTTTTTCTGAAAAAATTCTGTTAAACATTTATCAATTTGAATTTAATTTATTTGTCCTCCCTCCCTCAAACACACAAACACACACCCACCCACCCTCGTCGATAAAAAAAAATAGAATAAAATAAACCAACACAATTCTCAGCTTGTAAAGTTTTAATGTGAATGTACTTATATTTATGGACATTGTGTGGGTATACATTTATATATATGTTCTGTAATCATTATTGGGATACTAGTCATATGCATAGAAACTAAATTCATTTAATTTTTCTTTTTTTTTTCTTTCTTTCTTTTTTTTTTCTTTTTAGTTGATGAGAAAAACGCAACATTTACACTGACATTAATGACAAATTTATTCATTTTATAAATAAATATGAAATATTTAGATGAAACTTAACTCATATTCAAATCAATATAATCTATATTGGCTTAGTTTCATTCATTAATCAATCATTATAATTGTTACTATATAAAGATTACCATTAAACTTAATTCGATTTCATAATTATAGAAGTTTACAGGGTTTTTGAAATTAGTAGACAATAAAAAGTGACAACTATAGTTTTTGTTATATCTTGTGAATATTTTCCAAATAATCCCCGTTACCAATTGTTATATCATTGATCATTTATACTTGGAACGAAGGGATCTGCACAATTCCCATGATGTGAAAGTAAGAACACAAAGACTGGTATAAGTGATGATTTATTAGCTCCAAAACACTATGATGATGATGATGATGATGATGATGATGATGATGATGATGATGATGATGATGATGATGATGATGATGATGATGATGATGATGATTTGGATGATGATGATGATTCGGATGATGATGAGGATGATGATTCGGATGATGATGATGATGATGATGATGATGATTCGGATGATGATGAGGATGATGATTCGGATGATGATGATGATGATGATTTGGATGATGATGATGATGATGATTTGGATGATGATGATGATGATGATGATGATGATGATGATGATGATTTGGATGATGATGATGATGATGATGATGATGATGATGATGATTTGGATGATGATGATGATGATGATGATGATGATGATGATGATTTGGATGATGATGATGATGATGATGATTTGGATGATGATGATGATGATGATTTAGATGATGATTTGGATGATTATGATGATGATGATGATGATGATGATGATGATGATGATGATGATGATTAGGATGATGATTTGGATTATTATTATTATTATTATTATTATTATTATTATTATTATTATGACGACGACGACAACGATGATAATAGTGATGATCAATCCTAGTCTAAAATACACTGGTTTACATATTGATTGTACACCTATTTCGATTTGTAGCTAGGATTACTTCAGATAATCAGTTACAACAATTCACTTACTGAGTATAGTTCAGATCAATGGAATACAGAATAAAATATCATACTGGGAAAACAAAACAAATACTACACTGAATGATCATTGCGTTGAATCAAAACGGATGTAATGATGAACTAAAACTCATAATGAGTAAATCATTCGAATCTTGACTTTACTTTTCATCATATTAGTTTCTTAGTGGATAACACAGATAACGAAGTTATAAACACATCAAGTGAGTTCAAATGAGAGAGGTGAATATGTGTGAGTGAGTGAGTAAGTGAGTGAATTTATTGTCAAATCGAATCAAGGCGTAGATAAGCAAAGCAAAGGCTATTAATAGGATTTGAACACATATATACATGAGAAAGAGCATAATACATTGAGTGATATTTAAAGGATAAACATTTAAGTAAGAGAGAAAGAGAGATATGTGAGTAGGCTGTCACATGTGATCAAGTGTACACGTTTATACAGACAAGATAGTGATCATAACGGTACAAAGAAATAGACGAACTGCTTCTATTGTAATAACATAGTCTGTTAGGTAAGTTAATATAAAGGTTTAACAAGAAGTAACTATAATCGTAAATGATTGTGAAACAGTTCCTATAATCTTCCTAACTGACTAAGAAAAATAGTAAAAGATTGTATGAAAAGCAAAAATAGAATTATCTAATAGAAAGATACACGTACCTAGGAAACATCATGGACGGACAAGAAGGACGTGATTTAAACGTAAAGGCGAGGATTGGCAAAAGGAAGGACAACATTCCTACAATTAAAGAACATATGTCACTCAAAACAACTGTCTGTCAACCAATAACAAAGTTAGAATCTTCAATTCGAACATCAAGACAGTCCTATTGTCCGGAGCTGAAATATGGAGAACTATTAAAACTATCATCAAGAAGGTACAAGTACATATCACCTCTTGCTCTTGTATATAACAATAGAAATAGATTTAAATTAACTGATTGAGCTTTCACATACCTGATTGGACAGCATCATCGATGAACGTGGAGGATCTGATGAAGGCGTAAAGTTAAGGATTGGCAAAACAAGGGCAACATTCATATAGTTGAAAAACACATGGAACTCAAAACAACCAACATCAAAGTAAGAATCTTCAATACGAACGTCAACTCAATTCTACTATGTTAATCTGAAACTTGGAGAAATACCAAAACCATCATCGAAAACGTACAAATATTTATAAACAATTTTCTACGCAAGATACTGAATGTTTATTGACCGGATGCTATCGACAACAGTATACTATGGGAGAAAACAAACCTTCTTCCAGCTGTAGAGGAAATCAGAAAAGAAACATGGAAGTGGATAATACAAACATTACAGATATCATCAAACTGCATCACGAGGTAAGTCATCACTTGGAATCGTGAAGAGAGAATGAAGACCGATGTACACATAACATCGGGAATTGAAAGTAGATATTAAAAGGATGAATAACAACGGGAAAGAACTGGAATGGATTTCCGTGGATAGAGTTGGATGGATAGTGTTGGTGGGATGCTTATTCTCATATTTCGTAAAGGTTACTTAATAAATTTCTCATTTTATTGATCTATTTTTCACTGACGACTTTTATCCCATCCTTGGTATGACTTGACTCTATCCATTAATAACTAGATAAATTATCTTGAGGAAATTCACTAGCCTAAATAAGTTTGAAATATCCATAACAGGTGTCAATAAATGATTGGACAAAATGCTAACATAACAGTATAGGGTTATGGAGATTGTTGAATTTCATGGTCATGGCAAGTGTATTTCAACCATATCAAGTAGGAAGCATTTCCCCACTGAAGATACTGAAAAACGGATCGATTGAAATTAGACAAAACACAATGATCTCAAGATTAAGCGTTCACGCGTAAGATCTTAGGTTTGAATCCCGTATGCGGGGTCGTAGGTGTATACTGCTGAGGAATCCCATACTAGTTCAGTGATTTCAAGTTTTCAATCATAGTCTAACATTTAACATTTTATGACTCCAATTATTACTCGCTACGTGAATGGGAGTGCGTCAGTTCAGTTCGTGACGAAATTGTGTGTATGTGTTATTGAGAAGTCCTATAATAAAACAAGAGAGATCACTGATGTTACATAGTACATCACTTAATAAGTAGTTACTTTGATTATTCACTGAATAATAATCAATATCATGTACCTCTAACTCCAGTTTACTACAATTTCAGAACGCCGCAATTTGATTATTTTTCAAAATAACCATTTAAACGAAAATTAAACATTAATCTTTATAGAAAGATTTCAGTGTTTACCGTTACTTGAATTGTGTTCTTCAGTAGTATTTCTTGTTATTCAACAATTTTCCAAGAAAAACAAACAAACAAACAAACAATCTTGAATGTTCTTCTAGCAAGTATCATATATAGACAACATTACATGTACACATAAAGTGTATATACACTAAGGAAAAGTTATGTCTGAATAAATGGAATAGATGAAAAGTAACCACCCCCCTCCAAAAATTTCTTTCATATGATTTATCATTTATGATTATCAAATCATTTAAATTTATTTCTATGATTAAAATAGATAAGTTTTCTTTTTATGATTAAATTTAACTCCAAAAGGCACATTTATGATTATGATCTATGGGTAGTGAACAAGAATACATCTCATTCGTCCCTCCCCCACCCTTTTAAAGTAGTCGTTATTGAGGTAGTTCTACTTGCCGTGCCATTCGCTGTACTACGCTTTCCGTCAAAATGTTGTGTCTGTGGCTGAGCCACCAAAATCCAATGTTCATCGGACAACCGAGACATTCGACGCTGGTACCTCAGAGACCTGCTGAGACATCTACATCTGATATACACCCAGCAGCGGCATGTTCCACTACTCCTCTCCATCGACAGCACGTGTTACAGCCGACATCGCTCTACTAAAACATTCCACTCGACATCACTTTTCTGCATCACATCTCTCCAACTAACACCTCAGCTGGAGGTTCGCAGAATAGCGTCCAGCACTCTTTCTGGTTGACAACGACACTAAATGTAGTAAACAATAACACACTGTATACGTATATTAATTTAAAGAGAATTTTTAGTTTCGATATGTTTAAATGTAAAATAACTAGAATTCTAATCAAATAAATGTCTAAATTATAAGTTTAATAGATTTGTCAGAAATTGCATAATGATTCATTGTGTACTTTAATTATCACAACAAATAGACTTAGATGTGTAATCTGGATAAACAGATTGAATAATGAAATGGTGGAGAAAGAAAGCTTGAGTAATTCAGTATTTGAGTAGTGATACAATAGTAGTTAAAGGATGAAAATGTAGACTATAAGTTTACATCTCACCCTGACTAGTTCTAACTTAACAATCAGGTAGTCAATCAGATAGTTCCATAAAGATAAGTATGAAAAGCCAATTTTCATAAGTCGTTTCGTTTATATCGAAGCAATAGTTTAATGATAAAACTAATCAGAAGCGGTTTTGTGGAGATTGTAGTAATTTCAATAGTTGAGATCATGAGTCAATTGAAGCTAGACCACCATGGAAAACCTGGAAGCACTGGTGTCAACTGTTGAAATTACTACAATCTCCACAAAACCCTTTGTGATAATAATAATTTGCTCACTAGTGACTTACTTCAAGAGATACTCCTGGAGTTCTAGTGAGAAGCCGTCAGCAGTGAAGTTAAACTGGGTCTGTTGTGAGAGATCAACTCACTGAAGATAATGGTGATGGTGGCGCGATTTCGTAGATTGCTGGAGGTTAGACATCAACACCGTTGGATGCCGACCGGCTCAGTGGTCTAATGGTTAAGTGCTCGCGTGCGAGACCGATTGGTCGTGAGTTCAAATCTCACGGGGTCGGAATCGTGGATGCGCATTGCTGAGGAGTCCCATACTAGAACGAAAAGCCGTCTAGTCTTTCCAGGTTTTCCATGGTGGTTTAGCTTCAATGGATTCATTATCTAAATAAATTGTTGAAATAAAACTAATCGACAATCAATCACAAGTTCGATACCCTTTGCACTACTTCTGTCTCTACATTTGAGTGTTATTATTAGTACTTATATACTATAAGCGGTAAAGGAAAACCAGATACAAAAGAGTTATAATAATTAAATAAAATATGATTATACTCTACGATGAGCTTTGTAACATGATAATTCTGAAGCAATAAATGTATAGACTGGCTTGATAAAATAGTTAGATGATAAAACAAGTCAGAAGCTTGAATGAATCATGTACGGCGTAAAAGAAACTATAGGGAAAAAAACTATTCTAGTGATCAGCAGAATGTTTGTTGATAAACTAATCAGGACAGTAAAGATGGATGATAGCTAGAAATGGAATTCAGGACTCACGTTTTGTCTTATTTAAAACTCATCAGTTAGATATGTCTGCATCCTGGAGTTGATGTTCACTCTGAGATTATGTTAGCTAGTGTCTACATGAACTCAGTAGCTAAATGGATAACATGATGACATTTGAAGTGAACAGTGCTCGGTTCTAGTCCCCCGGTGAACATCTATTTTGAGATGTAGATACATCCAGTTGACAATTCCTTAAAATAGAATAAAATATACGTCATGGATTCTATTGCTAGTCACCATCAATGTGATTCGTACAAGATACACATATGCCAATAAAAAACTGATCAATTGTTGTCCTTAACAACAAAGAGAAGATACAAACATATCAATAACAGATAGTTTCCAAGTCAAATAAATAACTTATTCTTTTATCACTAATCATTAACATCTAATCTCACCTAAAAAATAAAAAAAATTCCTAATTTTCCCAGTTACAATTTTTACAACGT